CTTCCAGGTCCGCACAGCACGCCGCATCCCGGCGTAGTGAAATGTGGCACGCATATTCGCGGTAAGGATGGGCAGGTCGCCGATCTCGAGGCTCGTGGCGGTGTTCCCGAGCATGACTACCTTGGTAGAGTACGAGAAGAAGAGGAAGCTCCAGGGCGAGGCTCCTATCGGCTTGTTTAGCCCGTAAAGAAAATACACCACAGCAACCGCGTACCGTATACCCCGGCGACATTGTTTTTGTCGGTGTTGGTAATAGCCTGGGCGATTTTTTCGGAATATATTGCAGAGGGCGGGTAGTGAAGAAGAGGCCCGCGCGGAGTCGTTAGGATCGTGAGGAAGGTGACAGCGTAGAGGGGGAGCACAGCAGATCTTAGATACCAGAAGAATATAGTAGGCTTGTCAATAGCAGGGGACTCATCCGTTGGGATCATGGTGGTAAAACCCAGAAGCACGACGGCAAAGAACGTGAGGGAAGTGAGATGCCAAACAGACTCGGCGTGCTTCTCGACTGTTGACCGTCGAACCGCGAAGACACCGACGATGAGGAGGTAGAGGGAAAAGCAGGTGCGCAGCGCAGAAATAGTACTGTCGCCGCCGAGGAAAAAGCACGCCGTCTCGACAATTACAAGCAGTCCGAGCAAAACACACACGAATAGTTTCCTCATAAACATCTGGTCAAATGGTGTGAGTTTTGGATCGACGAGGGGAGGGATCGCTCTGACCTGAGCCCAGAAAGCCGCTTCATCGATCGGATAGCCATCCAGAAGATCCTCTGCGGAAGTGACGTCGAGTGGGTCGTCGCCAGGGTGTGTATCTTCTTCTGCGGGTAGATGTATCTTCCCTTCGGATGTCCTGTTGAGGAAGAACAAGAGAGCACTGCTGATAGCCAGGCCCCCCAGTGCGATGGCGATTTGGAGCTGGTATCCCGCCATGGTTACGATGCGGATGGTGGGCGGAGTCAAGTTTGGGAGTTTAAACCCCGCGATTGATGGATTACGTGACTCCGATTGTCGGTGCCGAAGTTGAAACGAACAATTGTTCGAAATGCCTTGGTCCGAGTCCTGCACGAGGACACGGCAGGTTGAAACGCAAGTCGAGGCAAATTCGGGGCTTCTCGACACACAATGTTGGGAAAACGGCTCCACAAAGCCCAATCAACTCAAGACGCCATAATTGGCAAGTGCCGGGCGGCTGAAGGAAGTCTAGTCCGTGGTATCGAGTTAGACTTCCAGGATCTTCTTGAGATTCACCGCTAGAAATTACCGCAGGCGAAGGGAAGCAACATCATACTACCTAGAGAAACCCCAAAGAGATGAATTGTCATATTGAGTTCAACGCGTATAAAATGCAGCTAACTAAAATGCTCGATATGCAAAGGAAGCTGCTGTACTCCATCGGCGGTCGTGGGAAACAGAAGTATGGTGAGCCGGGCTCTCACTGAATCGTTGTCCGGTAGAGTCAGAACAAACTTTCCAATCAATTCCGCGACAAAAACTTGGAGTTCTAGAATTCTGAACATGGATGTTTCAGGTTGACCCACGGACAACAAAAGAAAACTCACGCGAGGCGCCAGCCAAGACAAACCCCGGGACCGCCCAAGAAGGCCAGCCTGCCGAGCCGATAAATACATTGATATCTCGCCGAAGATCGGATAACGTACCCGGAAGGGTGGGGTCCCAGAGATATTCCTGTGCGAGGTGACTTGTCGAGCCATCGTGATGGACGAAACTCTTCGGCATCAGGCCCCCAGATCGAATTGAGCCTGATAGCTAGTCAGGCAGGCTCCGCGCAACGCGTTATAATTACCTATTATAATTGGCAATCGCCAAATAGAAACACTGTCCCTTCTTTACCGGTACGGCGGAAATTTGGGCACCCGTGATGGTGGTAATCGGTTGGCTCAACGGGAGAACACAGTCTTCGGTAGCCGTGCGTTCCGCCAAGGGAAAGGCACAATACATTCGTAAAACCTCCTAAGTTTTTGGAGTCAGCGAATCATAACTGTGTTAGTGGCTTGTGTCCCTGCATTGATGATCGCATTGAGCAAGGGCATATTGTTATAGTCAGAGCGCTCTGTCAGGTCTGAAAGTTGAATTTCTTGTCGTAGGTCTTGTTGGAAGCCAGGCATCTGAGCGAGCTTGTAGAGGATCCATCCCAAGGTGGCGCCCTGTGCCTGCAATGTTTGCATTGGAATAACGTATGGATATTGGAGGGCTCACCGTCGTATCCTCGCCTGCAATCAATATTGTTCTCAAATGTACACCGATTTCTTGATCGGGCACACTACCATCGCTGACTTGAGGCGAAATTAGGTCAATGAAAAGGCGTAACTAATTATTTGACACACCGAAAGCACCGAAAAATCCTTCTGCTTTTCCAGATGCTCGATCGGCACGGTTCTGCTCAGCCAAGTCGCGGCTCAAGTTGTCTGTGATTCTGTGGTATTCTTGGAACATTCGCACAGTCTTTGTCGGGATCCTGAAGGCCAAACGGAAGAGGACATCTGGAATGTAGGGAAGAGCAGCCTCGAACAGCTTCCCCAACTTCGTCGGATTGGAGGCGGAGTCCCTGAGTACAAGTAAATGACGGGGCCATGGAGATCAAGTAATCATAGCTTACACCATTTTTTTCTGAATCTGGGCCAGGTCACTCTGGCCCGCTAAGACGTTGAAAGGATAATCCAAAATTGCTAGGAACGATCATCAGGAGGAGGTGTGAAAGCCACCAGGACTCACCGTTACCCATGACCTCCAATGCAGCATCGTGTAGGGTGGTGGATATATCCACGGTGGTTCCTGGGAAACCTAGAGAGTCCCATCGATCCACGAGCTCGGAATATTGAATATCGTGATTGATTCCTGGGTACTGAAATCTCGTACACACCTTTGTACCGATTTCTTGGATGATGGGGAGTAATGCGCGCACATTATTTGCCGAAAACGAAGAGTTCATGATGCCCCGTAGACGGCGATGAGTTTCACCTGGGGATCACTGAGTTTGAACGAAATGGCAAACATGGCGTGAACAAAGTACCTCTTGCCAGAGTGACGTTGCCGCTTCCAAAAAGTACATTGGTAATCTTCTGGTGGGAAGGGCCTAAGACAAAAAGGTCACTGTTGATGATGTATTTTGCAGTTTCAGGATCCGAGATCATTAAGCGAGGCTCCTGAAAAGTTCGGCGAGACATAAGGAGACAGAATGGGACGAGCCTTTGAATGGAAACTTGCCCCAAAGCAACCTTTGATCGAATAGACTGGGCCGTACTTTTCCTGCCACTGAAATTCATGTTCCCCGTATTCCTCACTCAGAAGTAGTTGAGGCATATGTCCTATAGACGAGTTAGGCCATAGCATTTGCGTATAGCAATGTACATGCACCATATAGCCATGACGTGCACTTTGGTCCAGGAATAAGCTGGATGAGGTTCGGGGACAAGTAGAAACGGCGAGCAGTCCAGATTATGACGACGACCAGCAGGCAAAGAGCGATGATCTCGCTGTCCGTGGGCATTGGTAAAGGGACAGCTTCCTCGTCGGGACCACTGCCTTTATATACTCGTGGGTGAATCCCACGTCGGCTTCACCTTGACGCCTTGATATTTTCGGCCCGCCGAACTTGCGCCGAACGTTCGGTTTTCCACACCAGCACATAACAGTTTTTTTCTGGCTTGGGGTTGAATTCGAGTCGCACGCCAGGGTCAGGCCATCCAACTGGCTCCGTATGTTTGGGCCGTCCAAGCGCGTACGTGGGGCTTGATGTTCTGCACCCGGACGGGCGCAATTCACCTCGTGACGGATTTGCCGGCAGGAACATTTAAGTTGTCGCAGTCATTTTTGGAACGAAGATGGATGTCATAAAAAACTCATCCTTAAGCAGGGCATTCGCAGGATCACCGATGCTGGTACACTAGTGTTGCCACGGCACGCCAGCGTCAGGACATCCGACTGACTCCATATGTTCGACTCCATATGTTTGAGTTGCCCAAGCGCGTACTTTCTGCTTGAGTTCTGCCGCCGGGCGGACACAATTCAACTCGTGACGGATTTGCCGGCAGGAGCATTTAAGGTGTCGAAGTTAAGTTTGTAATCAAGATAAGAAAAGAATTTAAGAACGGAAGCTGGAGCAGCACAGTGCACAAATCGAAATTCGGCAAGCGGGCGACCTTCAAAGTGGCGGTAAGATGGGAGGAATCGGACCGTGAGCTCGGGCGGGAGACTTGCGATGGAAGGGCTTGAGACAGACCGACCCAGAAAAAGAAAAAGCAGACCCCAAGGGATACATCGACAGGAGCCGAAGCCCGAGCTCGTCAGTGCCGAGTTGCGGTATATTGACGCCTGTTCTTTCACTACCGATACGCATAGACCTATGAAGGAACCGGTATAGGCGGTGGACTTTGGAAACGATTTAGTGCGCAGGTCGAATTCAAACAGCGATGCGCGTTGACGGGCAGGCCGGGAGGAAATTCCGACCAGAGACAAGCTGGGAGTGAACTCGACCGGTGCATGAAAAAAAAAAAAGATCAAGGTTTAACTCATCAGAGAGAAATCTTGCTCCAGTATGAATTTGACGTGTGTTCATACACCAGCGATGCGCAGAGGGCCAGTAGACTTTCAGTCGATTTCCAGTGTGCGAGTCGGAATTCAGCCAGCGGGCGACATTCATTGACAGGAAGAGCTGGGACCTTGCCGAGGGAGTTCTGGAACAAAATTTCATCTTGAGAGGAACTAAAGTAGCAGATAACCCCAGATACGCATTGACGGGGAGTCGAACCCCGAGCTCATCATTTCGCGTGTTCATACACCACCGATGCGCGAATGGCCGTGAGCGAGGTCAGGCAGGTGTGAGCCTTTCAGTCGATTTCCAGTGCGGATCAGTCGAAATTGAGCTGGCGGGAGACATTCATTGACAGGAGAGTTGGAGAAATCGGACACACTTTCAGGAGACTTGCAAGCGGATAGTGAATATGCTGGCCGAACAAAAAGCATCACGGATTCGCAACATGCATCGACGGGGAGTCGAACCCCGAGCTTCGTCATTGATACAATCATACGAGATCGATCTTATGACTCTGACGCGTGTCCATGCACCACCGATGCGCAGATGCCTGAGCATGAAGCAGTATAGGGGGTGGACTTTCGAAGTGATTTAGTGCGACGGTGGAATAAGGTCCGGGGATACAAGTTTGGAGAATGCGCTCCGACCAGCAGCGAGATCATCAGGAGACACCGATTTGACTGTGCGAGGCCGAAGGAAGTCCGTGGTATCGAGTTAGACTGGGAGCGACCTCAAACGCACGAAGAAAGACATCGACCTAATCCACATATGCGACGACGGGGATTCAGAGTCGAATCCGGAGCTCTTTTTCCTCAAGACAGATTTTGACGTGTGTTCATACATCTCAGATGACTGGGAGCGAGGTCGGGGAGGTGGGAGACTTTCGGACAGTCCGGAGTACGGGTGAGCGGAATTCGGTCAGCGGGAGACGTTCAGAAGGAGATCTTGTACATATGATATCCGAGGTTCAGTCCGTCGGGTAGGGAAAATTGCTCATTGGATTGATTAAAGGGTATGCCGACCAAAAAACGGGGACGAATTCGTCGCGATCCCCAAAAAAGACGCGGAAAGAAACCATCGACGACGAGTCGAACCCCCGAGCTCGTCACTTGAAAGTACATGGATGCGTACGATATTGACGGATGTTCAGACCACCACCGATGCATATCAGGTTATTAGCCAGGCAACACAAATGGTAATCTGCGGACCTGGTTCATAGAATAGCAAGGGTCTCTCGAGAAATCTATATGGGTCCCAGTAAGAATGCGCCGACGACAAGGAGGGGAATTCGGCGCCCGATGGAGAATATCAGAAGCGAGCATTCGCCAAGGCATTCGAATTGCGAAGAGGACCAGCACACAAAAAGTCTTGAGGAGGGCATACAATAGAACCTGAGACAGAGGAAAGAGTCACCAGCCAGGTGGTACCCTGAAGCCTAAGATAGAATAGAGACGACTTTGTGTTCGGTAGAGATGGGCGTCGAGAGCAAGCGCCCGTAACATGTGTGAGACTCCCTCCGAGATTGCGCCGAGGAACGCCGCTTATCTGTCCTATCTGTCCAGTGTCTTTATCGTGGACTCTGTGTGCTTGCTGGCCGTCTCTGGGCCATCTATAGGCTTGCTTATCGTCTCCCCAAGATTACTGCTTGTCTCTGCGAGGTCTACACATTTCTGCGGGGATCTGGAGGCCCAACGAGTGGCTTTTTGAGGCTGAAATTCGTGATTTTTGCGGACAATCCTTTGGTGGAGCTTCCCGGGGCCTGGATCTGGCCATTCTACGAGCTTGTTACTCTTGCGCGGTCTAGACTCTACATCCGATACTCACATTCAAGGTCGTAGTAATCGGCGCCTCGGGCGTCGGAAAGGCGAGTCTCCGTGGCCAGGTGCGTCTCTCCCAACCCGTAAAAAAACAGGAGCTAAATTTGAATTTTCTATGGCGGTCAAAATGCACATTTAATCATACGCTACTTTTTTTTGTGTTTTTCAATTTTCCGCTAATTTCATCATGAAATTTGACACTTTGCGCTACTTTCACGGCTCAAAATGAAAAAAAATATGAATAAGTAGCGCAAAATTGGATTCTGCGCTACTTTCGTTCAAGATCACGCTACTTTTGTTTGACAGGTGTGTGATCCGTTACTTTCGCTTAAAATGATCATCGTGCTACTTTCGTGAGGTGGGAATCCCGCTACTTTTCTCGGACATAATTTTTTTTTTTGCGCTACATTCGCACAGAATATCTATGGGTCCATGGTACAGTATCCAGTTGTACAGTAAAGGCATAAACTAAGCTGGGTATACAAGAGGCCGGGCCGGGGCTACCGGCTGAGTGCCTTGTGGAAATTTGGGGCCCTTGGTACAAGTATGGAGATACCTGGAGATAGCCTGGCTTCAGGCTTTGGAATTGAGCCAAGGCGAAGAATTAGACTGAAGAAGTAGACTCACTACCAATCGATTTTAGTCAGCACACTTTTCTGTTCCTGAACTGCCTACTGTAGGCTCTGGAGTACACATTGTGTGCCATTCCTCCTGCCGCCGATTCTCTCTGCCCCCATGTACTTCGTGCTATGTGCTGAGAGGCCCGAGTCCGCACCACCTTCGTCACTTCGTCAGTTCGCTTAAATGCGGGAAAGATAGTCACTTTGATGGCATTCTGTGAAAGTTCGTGAGTTCATCAATTTTTGGCCAAAGTTCGTCACTTTCCCAGCACAAGGCCTTGTCGGCACATCACGGAATCAGCGGTGTGCCGGCGTCGGCTGGTTAGGTGGTTAGGGTTAGCGGTTAGCAGTTAGCGGTTAGTGGTTAGTGGTTGGAGGTTAGAGGTTAGAGGTTAGAGGTTAGGGTTAGTGGTTAGTGTTCGGGTAAGGTATCTATATAAAAAAAAACACGCCAGGCCTTGTGAGGTTGAGACCAAGCATGATGATGGCCGACGTTCCGGGGTCTTGAAGGTGCCGAGTTGAAGCGACAAACATTCACAGAAGTGACGAACAATCAGTCAAATGGCTAAATTTATCTGAGGTGACGAAGTTTCTCAAAATTAACCGGTCTGATGAAGTGACGAAGGTGGTATAGACTCGAGAGGCCCACATCCACACCTCTGCGCATCTGGGTGGAAGGCATGAAGGGCTTGCCTTCCCCACTGCAATGACCTGGTGCTGTGATATCCCAGCAAGCACCAGTGGTACGTGACACTGGCAGCCTCCCCCCATTCAAAGGGATTCCCATGCCACCGGTACCCACATCCTTACACACCAGCACCTCATCTCAGCTCCCATAGCTCCTGCACTTCCGCTGCAGAATGACCACCCAAAGCTCCTCTCAATCAAACATCTGCTGGCTGCCCCGTCCTCTCCATCCCGTTCACCTATCTCGTGTCTATACTGACCTCCAAAGGTGGCAGGAGGCTGCTTCCTCGGGCTCCAGAACATGGACGGATTGGCCTGCAGAGTGTGTACGACGATGGGACCATCTGCCTGCCTCCACACTCCAAGCCCTGCTATTCATTCTCGCACAGCTTGCCATAGCATGAGTACTGTGTTTGCGACAGGCCCGAGTAGGCTATCGGGCCGGTGGCCCCGGACCGGCCTCTTGTATACCCAGCTTAGTTTACGCCTTTACCGTACAACTGGATACTGTACCATGGACCCATAGATATTCTGTGCGAATGTAGCGCAAAAAAAAAAATTATGTCCGAAAAAAGTAGCGGGATTCCTATGGCGGTCAAAATGCACATTTAATCAGCCGCAACTTTTTTCCCATGCCGCAACTTTTTTTGGACATTTTGATGATCATGCCGCAACTTTTAGGTCCTTTTGGTCCTCCCAAAATAGTTGCAGCCGAACTTGCTCTCCGCAACTTTTGTTTTTGAGTGCCGCAACTTTTTTTTTTGGGCCGCAACTTTTTTTTTTGAAAGTCATTTTATGTTTGGAAATCATTTCCATGGCTTTTTTTCTCACAGCATCTCTATTAACAGCGCGTTTCGGGCGCAACAACGCGATCACGAGACGTGTGTGACATTGCATCTGAATGATATCGCGACCATTTGGTATGATCAATGGCAGATCTCGCGAAAATGTGGTGTCTGTGTTACTGTGTGTAGCAACTCATGGTCTCCTTGATCTATCATGGTTCCATAGTCTACTTGGATAGAGTAATGTTGTTGTCCTGTCGCGTCGTTGTGTGGCCCCTGTTCGAGCCTCGAAATCAGTGTTCCCCTTTCCTCACCTTTTTGATTCCGTGGATGACGTACTCATCTGTTGCAAAGTTGGTGAAATGGACTTGTTGCCCCGTTAGTGCGTCATCCAATGACATCCATCAACCATGTGGTCTCAATTGTTTTTGGAACAGTGCCACTGAATTCTAGACGAAGAAGAAACTCTATTTTTTACGGGATAGGCTCTGATTCTTCTGTCTTCGCCCGAACTGGCCCCCCTGTTTGTAACGTCATCAGCTCCGCAATTCCATCCTCAATTTCCTTCTCTTCATCAGTCGACCATCCTTTACCCCACAACCAGGTGACTGACAACTTTTGACACGGCTTGCACAGCTCGTGAATCGTTGCAGTTTCGAGGGCCCGAAGAAGAGAAACAGCATCACACGGCACATCCGGGTGGTGGAGCATCCGCGGCACTTTCTCCTTCCACTCACAGGCCCAGGCATGGGTGCAGTAGGCTGGAGTGGTGCAGTCCCCATCAAGAACTACGGGCGGGATGTGGAAAGCGAGCTGTCGGCGGACGTGGAGAAGCCTCTCTTTCGTCTGAACCAACTGAAAAAAACCGTGTGGTCCGATCTGCTCCATTTGGTACATGTCGAGGTTCTCAATGGGCATCTCCACAAGCTTGCGGAATGCAGGCTCGATCCAATGATCAACACGATAGCAACGAGCGAGTTGAAATTGAAGTGCCGGGGGGAAAGTATTGCCAGGACGAGTTAATTGGGAAATGGCATGGGTCCTTCCATCCTTGATCTCGAAGAAGGTGGACAGAGACAGGACGGAAACCAGGAATTCGTTGGTTGTCGGATGTTCGCTAGAGCAGGACATTAGCCCAATATATACACAAAACAGAATCCAGGAATACCTAGGCCCTTTATAGAAGTACGTCAGTAAATTGTCGAAGTCGAATTGGCTAATCATTGGTAGCCCAATCGGATTTTCGTCCACCTGTCCCTCCGACAGGACCTGCGATGAAGCATCTGGACCCCTAGGCAGTGAGAACATGGAGGCAAAAAAAGCGGATCGAGAGCCAAGGACACTGGAGTGGAGTTTATACAGCATAACAATGGGCTCGCCCCTGGATATTTGGCTCTGAAATCCGATCAACGTCAAGTTAAAAATTTAAAATTGGACATTTGGTAGACATGAAATACGACACACTTTCAAGCCGAATATCGCGGATCCATCCCCGAAATAGAAGACCGGATGACGGACAACATTTCCGGAAGCAGCGGTTGTGGCATGCTCTGAGTCGGACTGGGACATCTGATTCTGAGCGGAAGGGCCTGGAAAAGCGACGCGTCGTCGGCCACGTGCCAGAGATGAAGCC